GGTGCTACAGAAGCGGCACTGAAACCTTGAATCGAGAGACAGATCAAACCCCACCCCTTCTCCAAACTTTTTTTCAATTACACCACTAAAAGAAGAACTTCACGATTCAGTAGAAATCCCCCTTGCTTCGCCTACCTCTTGAAAACTAGCAAAATATCTCGGTAGAGTGAAAGTCAGAACTCGAAAGTTTTCGCAAACACTGACTAGCACCAGAAGAAATTTTCCCAAGTAAAATACTTGAGCCAAAATTAAGAGGCAAAATGTACTGATGCAAAAGTGCTCTTCACAAAACGTGTCCAGAAACGATAGGCGTCAAGAGTGCAAATTTGCTGCAAGAGCACTTTTCCATCCCGTCACATCGATCCCAGGCCATGCAGCGCTCAAACAGAGACAGTAGGCCTAGTGGAGAGCCGAAACATACCGCGGCATACCGCCGTTCATGAAAATGGTACAGATCAGCTCATCGAGTGACAGCCAAAAAGACAGCGGGCGTTACCGAGTGGGTATGTAGCATTAAAATCGGATTTGAATAGTGGGACGTGTTAACGAATGAATCCAGAGCTTATTGAAGTTGAATTTGTAAGCGTTTCTATGGGCAACTTCTGAGGCGGGTATGGTAGGTAAGACGCTACACAGAATATCCGAGACGCTCATTACTATCGATTTACTGCCATAATATGCCAATAGCGTCAAACTACCTCTATAAGAGGCAATACTTATGTGTATCACCGCAGTAATGGAGTAGAATGTCACCTGGATAAATTGGGAAAGAGTGGTCACCCTACCTTCTATAGAGTCTCAGTCGTCTGATACTTTTCTCAGGGAAATCAGATCTTATGCAGGCGTATTCAGGTTCTCTGATCAGTGGAACTTGGTGCTAGCTTAGTGGTTGTGTGCGCCAGGATTCATGTGAGTGGTCCGATGGATCGTTTTTTGCCGAGACCATGTAGAATTTCAACTGATAAATGAACGGACAACAAAAGACCGCTGACTCCGATATCAATAACCATTGAACTAGGTGGGTACTGATTACATTGAATAGGAGTCAAAAACGTGAAGTATCTCATCAAAAGGGACCACCACCTGATAGTTGTCATTTTCCATGACTACATGAGCCTAAGAAGTAACCTGCCGCCGTCTCCTCCCACAAGTCCTCGAAATTGCCGAGGTATTTAAACCCACATTTGGTTTGCGCAGTGTCTTACAGAAACCAAATGATTTCCAAACTCATAACCTCGTCCATCCAGACAACTCTGTCTACCACCTATCTAACGGAGAGGAGGGGACGGAAATAGAAAGCATCATCAGTAAAGTGAACTGCATCTCTCGAGACTGTTCTTTCTCTTTCAAGTACCAGTTTACCACCAGAAACTTAATGTAAAACAGGTCATACACAAAGGCTAGTTTCAGGCTAGGGTAGAATACTCATTCACATACTCGGTACAAATTACTCATGACGAACAAATGCTACTTCTTCCACTATATGCTCAGCGAGCAGGCCATTACATGACACCGAAATATTACCAGGGTAATGAGCAGCAAGGTTGGATCTCGCTATGAGGAATGTGCTAAGAATCAGAACCCATGTAAAAGGCGACCAAGAGGTAACCGATAGCGAAGTCTTCGCTTGTCCTAGTCATCTGGTCTCTGTCTTTGAGTACCCGGTAAGGTTTCTGCCCCTGACTTCTGATCCCACAATGAATTGTCTGGATAAGGTGAACTCGATTATTCCTCAAAATTCAACAACTCCTAGGATCCAGTCAATTTTCGACCCAGCTGCACCTTTATGTCACTAAAAAGGGAATTGTTTGAGAAAACCTCCAAGAGCATCCTCTCTAAACCAGGCTCTGGCTTCGTCCCAGCGGCTAGGATGGGGCATCTCAAGAATAGCTCTTCTTCGAAGAATCAAAGAGAAATTCTGGATATCTAAATCGACTGATGAAACAGGCAGTTTACACCTGCCAATGGCATAAAAGTTGCAAAACGGATTACGGTAGTTGATGCTTCAATGAATCTTCTGAAAGCCGCCAACGTCCTCGTACGAAAAAGAGGTCCTTCTCAGAGACTCTGACATCATCGCAGAAAAATATACGAATTTTAGCTGAGAATGCACTTGTGGAAGTTTCGGCGCTGAACATCACCTTTCGAACTCTTTCAGGAATCCGATTACCGCGGGTTAAGTATCAAAAAGACAGGGAAAAAAGAGGAGTAGCAATTCGAGAATTTTGAATTCGAAGTGAGTCGATCTGCCAGCATGCGCCATGCACGTGACCTCCAACTGAAAATACTAATGCATATGAGCTGCTTAGAACCGATTAGCGATACCTGTTGATGCCACTCACACAGCCAACTAGATCCTTCAACAGCTAGTTCAGAGTGCACGGCTCAAAATGCGTAGGTAAAACAAAAACAAACAACCCCAAGAATCCTAATCGTGAGTGAGCAATTAATCATACAAGGACGAGCACCATTATCAGTTCCCGATCCTGAGAGGGACTATAATGCGTGGAGCACTAACGCCTTACCCACTGCTCACCGACCACTCCTTATCACCCAAGAGCTCCTTTTAATTAGTAAGTATTCTGGAGCATAGAAGCTCGAACGTTTTTTACGTTATCAACTTGTATGCAGGGAACGTCAATTCTCTACACAAACACCGATTCTTTCCGATTACGCGCATAGATATCTATGCACTTTGAAGCGACTCGAATTGATGGAACATATGGAACATTTTTTTGAAAAAAAAAAACATTTTTTATACATAACTTACAGTAACTCCGACTCTGTACTGCAGTTCTGGATTGAACTTCTTATCAAATTTGTGGATTTTTTCATGAACTCTGCTCTCACTCTCACTCTCACTGCTTTGAGCGCGCATCGAATATATGCCGACGTTCATCGGCAGTCCTAAACCGTAAAAGTGACATGTGGATCGTGGGTCTCTTATCGAGATGCTGCGATAATCCATCTTGGGCATTTTTGATTCTCTGAAATTTCGTCGAGTACAGAGTTTGCGTTTTGGCAACTCTGCGAATCAATGTCAACAAATAATTCACGTGATGTGGTTGCCTCTCGAATCCCACCTCGACGTATCATCTTGTAAATTCTTCAAAAAGTTTGGTAAACGTTTTCAAGTAGGAACCGATGTCTCATATTTTGCCATCTGCTCTTTGTGGGTGTTTTTGAACTTCACAAACTCTTGTTACTCACGTCTTGCGACCGAAACTGATCATTCCAGCCTGTCAAAGGAAGTGGCATCGACTGCAAGTGGTCATCGATGGACATTGCTCGATCGACCAATGCCGCCACATCCATCGACGTCCGATTCCCCATTGCCATTGCCGGATCGACAGCTGCAGGGACAGCACTACCCGGTGCTGTTGGTAACGCATCACGTAATGGGAGCTGGTTGGCTGTCAGTGTAGCGTAGATGGACTGAAATCAATCATCTCCGAATATGCACCTCACAATAGAAGCTATACTAGAAATAGCCGTTACGTAAGAATGATTTGCCTACTTTCTACGTGTTCTATCCTTAGATTCTGAAAGCAGTAATTCCACTAGAGGAAGGGGAAGGGGTAGTTGACCGGTGTAATCTCTTACCCATGACCGATACAGATTTAACGAATATTGCTATACAAGAACGAGAAGAGCAAGAGGATCTAGAAAAGCGAGGAGAGCAAGAGTCCTTTGCCTATGCACTCTCGCTTTTGCCACTAGAGATATCCGGCTAAAGTGAGCTTTTGCATAATATTTCCTAACTACTGATCCCTTATTTATTTTCCGCATTCACGAATGGTGACGTTGTTTCTGCTAAACTGTACCCATAGACTTTAGCAGTACAAGTATTCAAGTGGAATTCAGAAACTTTCTATTCATTCAATGACTGCGCCCTTTGAAAGTGCCTAGCGAATAAAACAGCGCTTCTAGAGTTAACCCAACAACATGAATACATACTCCAAAGGTAAAAAAAAAATTAATATAACCGATATACGACCTCAGAGATTCATTCGCGTTACCCAGGCTATACCACCCATAAAGGCAGGCTCCTCCCATGTGGTTTATGGAATCCCAGAGGTATAGCTACCCAAAGAAGAGATGTTATCAAGGGTTAAAGATTGAAGATAGAGACAAGTTGAAAAAACGCTGAAAGTTTACCTCTATGCCACTGTTATTAACGGTATTGTTGTTGGCCTCATTATATGGATACAGACTGTGATGCATCGAATAACCCTGAAGAAGCAAATCCATTGTTCACCTAACAAAGTTTCTTTCGGAAAATCCTTTGCAACATCAATAGAATTCGCACAGAACACTGATTCCGTGGCAGTGAAGTTCAATGTGAGGAAGGTAGAATACGGTGTCATTCGATAAAGTACGAATTACAGCTCCTGGCATCAACAATGCCTTTCGCCCTCCAGCCCTAAGCTGTCAAAAAATGAACTTCTGCTTGCTTGCTCATTCAAACTGCCACAAAAGATTATCCACTTGAAAAAGATCGAGCGTGCGCGCGCAAAATCAATACCTACCCTAGCGAAATCATCGCAAATCAGAAACCATTCTCGAACAAAATTTTCAAATTGAAGAAGAAAAGAAATGAAAATATGTACATTTCGAGATTTAAAAAATAAGAATAAAACAGAATCACCTGCACTTGTTTGCTTCACATTCCCAGCTGATCTACTACAACCCTAACTACCGTGAAATAGCCTGAAAACTCGAACTTTTCAGTCAAAATCATTCCTGGCTAACTGAGCAACGTAAACATAAGCTGAAAGCTCGGCCATAAACCGCAACATCACAGAACAAAAAACTTAAAAACAAAAATTTTAACAACCTATAACTTATAAAAATGGCAATCAAACAAGTATAATTCTAACAAATTATGTACACAACAGTTGACAATAGAGGTCAAACAAGTGTAACGACTCCATCTAAACAACTAGCCTAGTAGGAAAAAGTGCTTCAAAACCCATACAGGGTCATGAAGAGGATAAAATTTAATTACTCTGCGGTGCTGAAACGTCAAATACATAGTTTTCCACAGTTTTAGCCTCTTTTTTCCGCCGTTCATAGGCTTTTCTTCTTGACGGTTTCACTCGTTCATAAGGGAGCTCTTTACCACTTCGACTCGATAATTGTTCAGAGTACGCTTTGTACACATTCCATTCTTCACGAGTCACACCGGCTACCTAAAAGAACAAGCCATTATCGGGCATATTTGAAGGTACTAATGGGAAGTCACACTGGTGGTAAGTAGGAGCAATTAGCGATACAAGCACGAATCAGACATCAACCTCTAAAATAAGGATTCTACCGTAACGATATTAGCTCATGAGATTATCACAACTGCTTGGAAGTGAAATATTGAGACGAATACGTAAGGGCTGTGAATGTCATCGTACAAGCCACAAACGTTTGCAAACTCTCCGAAGACCCCGGCAAGGTGTCGAAAGCAAGGTAATTCTTGAGCGAATTACAAGTAGCTTCCATTAATTACCCTTACAATTACACGAGCATGGGTAGCTAAGCGCGCACGACTTGCTAGAAATTGTTCCTTCATCGACACTCGCCATGCCCTCACACTAAGGTCAGAAATGCAAAACTGAATGTTAAGAAGAAATGAAAAAAGTAGGCTCCGATGAGTACACATCAGAAAGTACAAAACAGACAATCGAAAAAGAGGATATCCACCATACCTTCTCCTAAAAATTAATAAGCATAAACATTATAAGTTATGTTTGACATACCTGGATGGCAAAGTTATCATCGTTCGAGTCCAATATTTGCCATAATCGTGGGTTGTCCTAGAAAACCAACAATAATTTTCAGATTACAAGCTGTGCCTGCTATCTCTTTCCAAAACTACATATCTCCCCATAGCATTGACCTAGGCTTAAGTAAATCTTTAGCCATCCTTTTTTTTCTCGACAAAACTTTTGAACTTACTCACCATTTTCTTCTGTGGATGCTTCGGATCTGGTGTTGTATATCGTCCAGTTTTCAGAAGGAATTCATGTCGGTCCATTATATCTTCCAAACTCATCGTAGCCCAATTCATACAATCCTTGAACTCGTCACCTTCGATACACATCTGAAGTGATTTCGCTCAATTGTTGAGAATTTTGTCCCAAACCAAAGAACCACAACAAAAACAAAATGACCGGCACCAAACGTTTTCGAGCCACGTACGGGACGTTTACTATATATTGTTGGAATCAGTGGGTCCGGTAACGTGGCTGCGAACTAATGGCACAGCTAGGTCAATCATGTTTCCTTTCTTGGTTTGCTGTTCACTTGACCAGCTCAAAAGCACCCTTGAGAAGCACACTGTAGTTGGCATTCCGACAATCAAATCACAGGGCGCTTGACATAAAGATTACTTTTGACCCGATCCGAAGAACTATGCAAGATTCGATGCACAACCAGTGGTAAAACAACAACGCCTTCTAACGCGATTCTTTTTTTGCTGCCGTTTTAGTAATCCAATTAGAGTAACTCAACCTAGTCTGCTCCTACACCGCTAAGTCAACGAGCCACAGCCCGCAGTATTCGTTTCAGCGTTAACTCATTGGAGCAGTTTGTTTGACTTAGTTCAAGTCAAGTACACTGACAACAAAAACAACTGGCTTCACAGGTTCCTATAAATCGGTAAACATTGACTCACAAGTTGGTAATTTATGGACAAAACTTCGGTCACGGACGGAACTCGAACCAGTATTTATCCTTTCCGGGGACCGTGCTCTTATCCCTTAAGAATCTTATCTTGAGAAGGAAAGGGCAAACGGGGTCTCGGTAGTGAAAGGGATAAGAGCATGGTCCCCGGAAAGGACAAGTACGGGTCGAGTCCCGTGACCGAAGTTTTATCCATAACCCGCCAACCTTATGAGACTTTCGTAACGCGTACTGCGGCGATATAACAGCAGTTAACAAAACATCAAATAAATTAAGGTAAGCATTGAAACTTCTCACTATTCTAAAAAGAGTGGAGCAAGGCGTATCTCAGAAACTTTAAGCTCAGCCGAGTGTTCGCTATAAAGGATCAAGAAGTCCCATAAAAAAGATGTCGAACTCACCTGGAAGAAAATATATTCATACTTCTCCTCCAGCTCGTCAATATTCTTTAACAATACTTCAGGCACAGCTTGGACAACAGCAAGAAGCTAAACGAAATCGGCTATAACTAGATAAGGGCCAAATAAAAACAGCTTTCTCAGAGCTACATGAAGTCACTGATAGCTCCCACTAAAATTCACAGAGTTTATTACCTCTTTTCTTGAGAAAAATCCACCTAAAGCCTCGATAACGCTGCCCATCTCCTTCGGGTCACGGGCAAACAGAATAGCTGGACATCTTCGGACAACTCTTCCACAACTTCGTCCTGCCGGTATGCCACAATTCACAAGGACATCTAGTCGGGCTTGAACACCAGCTGGAGAACATATAAGAAGCTCGTCACCACAGCTGAAACGTGTGATAGGAAGCAGGCTAAGATTTTTTGTACTTCATGACTGGGAAACATATAAGAAACTTTTTGTACTGAAACCTCGAAACCAGAATGGTCTGGAAAAATCAAAAACCTTATTCAAACATTGGCTACCTTTCCTCATACCGCAAACTCGAAATATTAGTCAAACGCGTATCAAAAAACCCCTATTTCTCTACGAAGGACTCAAGGAAGAATCTTTTCAAGATATCTTTTTCAATTCTTAAGTTAGAAAAGTGAAGTTAGGCATCCCTATGTGAACTAATTCTCAAAGCTTTCAAATCCACGGCCTAGCGCACGCCTAGTTGTATAGACTGAATACACATATAAATGTTTGTACAAAAGAGAAAGGAATGAATACGCATCCCAAAATAAATTTAGGTGCTAGGTAATTTGCCATTTCTTTCAACAGGCAAGTAAACAGCCGTGATGTGCATTTGACTGTCTATACATGAGATCTCCATAAATAGGAATGGTCTCAACATACCATAATCAGCGGAACGGTGGGTGTTATCAACCTGGACGGACTTTGACAAGCATTATTGTCCTTCTACCGGCTGAGTAGCCCTTGATCCTCTAAAGGCCATATACAGCCCCCAAGTAGACCGAGAGCGTCTCATTGAGGGAGGATATATCCAGTAAGTTCAGTCCAGAGAGAGAACAACGATTCCAAGAAAAGTATGAAAACGAAGAAATGCAGATGTATGAGACACCTTATCTGATTCGTATGCCAAATGCACCATGTTCACCGAGCACATATCCCTTGGGTTACTTTATCGCTGAATAGCCTCTACCTTCACTTATGGGAGAGGGGGGGGGGGACACTTAGGCGATCATGATAAGAGATTGCTTCTGAGCGTATTTACATCCGTTTCCAGACTGAACTGTACTTTCAAAATGACACAATAGGAAATGTCGATTATGGACGTTCTTCATATAAAACATTAATATTCGATAATTTTTGAATAGAATACTTTCAGAGATGATCTCCACGTCCGAGAGAAAGTCTGAAATTTGTAATAAATGTTAGTTAAAATAGCGAGAGAATTGGTTCTGAAGAGCGCTTTTTGCTTAAAACAGTGCCGTTCCTTCAAGTTTATGTCAATAAAAGTTCCACGTAGTTTTGAAAGACATTGAAATTAAGTTCTATGAGTGTTTTTGATCAGCACAATTCGTTATTGCGGTTTCGGTTCCATAGTTATAAATGGAACCGAGTTCTTTCCATATGTTTCTAGAGCCGCCAAGATATATAATTATATAAATAAATATAAATAGCATGTAAGAACACGGGAACTAAAATTAAGCCAAAAATAAACTTCAAACTGAGGCGTTTCTTATGATTCTATTGAAATTCAGTATTCACCCAGGACCAAGAATTCATTACAAAGGGGATCGTTGCTCATCCAATATCCACTACTAATTTCGCACGCTCATGGCAAAGAGAGTTCAGTAGGTCTGGCTCCGATGGAACTGTGATCGGAAGAGTAAAAACCGGATTGACATCCACTGAGATCACCATTACTTTCATGCTCGTTCAGTTATCACCGGGACCTTAGCCACCTGGACAACTCAGTAATCTTCAGTAGATGTTGGTCGCAAAAAGTCATAATTAAACTAATCGAATTAATAGTCGCTATTCAGCACACTATACGCTCCTCCATGCGATCACTCTTGCATGTAGACCTTAATGGGAGCCAATCTAAATATACTTTAACTATGAACTCCCATAATCTAACAACCAGAAACGAGTGTATCACTACAAATTCTTGAGAAACGTGGTTGATAACGTTCAGCCACACACGCAATAAAGATAATGAGAAATAAAAACAAAGGTGACACAAATTGCTAGAAAACAGCAGGAGATAAGAAGGCTAATAATGAGGAATTTATAATTTTGGAATGTTAAACTGTTTCACATAAAATTTTACCCTTTTGTGAGTTTCCAATCACGCACCGATGACTACATCAAAAAGTATTGCTGACGTGTCTCCAAAACTAGTACCATTTCAGGTATGTTTTTTTTCCAAACAGTAAAACGATTTGAAACGGAAGCAAATAAATGTGTACCTGGCGAATACCCGCAATGAGTCCTCGTATGTAATTCCGCAAGAATCCACAAGCATATTCAGGATCTTAAATATATTGAAAAATAGAAAAACGCGTACTACGCAATACAATGCAGTTTTTACTAATGGGTTTTTGCATAAACTTAGTTCAAAGTGATACAGTAGCATTATGAGGCAGTTTGAGATTGCTCAATTTCTTGAACAACGTGATACTTATTCCACATCCCTTCAGAACGTAATACATTCAAACTCATGATTAGCTTAGAGAAATTACGGGAACTAGGGAGTACTCAGCCAGCGTTTGATTCTAAATAGGTGAACCTGTGCTCTGAACATCACTATCAATTCAAGAACGTCTGCATAAAAATTGGAATTAGTCAACAT